ACAGAACTGAACAGGATGCCGAAATGACGTTGCAGAATCTTACCGGTGAATGCCAACGCTACATCCACCTGAAACTCAATACGCCTATGATCGGTCGGTTACCTATGTCTTCAATCAGTTGTGTACAGTTAATCAAATCCAGCGCGCCTAGGAAATCTGACAAAGAGCTCGATCGAAGACAGGATAAATCTTCAACATTGCGGTGAGTGGCATTTTGCTCGTTATTGCCGGTTCAGGTGTCACCAATGTTCCAGGTGCAGTCGTCGTGGCCACAAAGAAGATTTATGTGGATCTCAAAGACTTCCGCCACATGCACACCACCGGGCAGCCCACAAATCGCGGTCCAACTCGGTGACTGCGACATTCAAAGTTAATTATACTTGCTGAAAAAAGTTCGTGACCGTTCGTATCAACAACATACCAGTTCGTTTGCAGCTCGATGCGAGCTCCGATATCACACTGCTCAATGTACGAACCTGGAAACGAATCGGTAAGCCACAGGTGAACCCCACTGAACACTGGACCCGTAATGCTTCCGGTGGTAAACTGAAGTTGACCGGCGAGCTTGACTGTCTCATTTGCTTCAATGACTTGAAGGCGCAAGCAACCTGCTGCCTGACCTCAGGCCACAAATTCGATCTAATTGGGCTAGATTAGATTTAAAATCTAAATTTGCTGGAAAAACCAATCAATTCTATTTGCAACCGCATGCACGCAGCATCCAAAGTTGCCCCCGAACAAACCCATTTGCCAAAGCATTCAGTTGAGCACCTCCTACAACCTTATGCAGATGCATTCATTGACGAGCTTGTGCGGTGTACAAAGACAAATGCCAGACTGTGCCTCCTCCCTGGTGCCAAACCAGTCTTCAGGCGCAACATCCAGTGCCGTATGCAGTCTTGGCTATCGTCGAACAAGAACCGGGCCGACTTCAGAAGGCGTGTGTTCTCCAACCGACCAATTACTCTACCTGGGCCGCGCCTTTCTTGTTGGTGAAGAGGGCTAATGGGACGATCCGGTTGTGCGCAGATTTCTACACCTGTCTCAAGGCGGCTCTGGATAACCATCCACAAGCTTTGACTGTTCCAGACGATTAGTTCGCGAAACTGAATGAAGGTAAATGTTTCGCGAAGGTTAACTTGGACGATGCGTACCTCCAGTTTGAAGTTGATGGAGAATATCGAGAACTCCTCACCATCAATACGCATCGAGGTCTGTTCCAGGTGTTCTGTCATTGTCACGATGTATTGATCCCAGCTTGGGGTCACTGAGAAAGGACCCGTGGCGTCCACTGATTACAACTCGCCGCTTCCTGGGACAGCAATACGTCCCATGGGGTGGATTGCCCCTGTCATGTAACCCCTCATCATCTGGCATCGCTTACACCAAATAATCAACCACCTCTATTCTCACCCCGGGCCAGTAGGCCCTCTGCCAAAGTATATGACATCCCATGGCATTCGACGATAAACTTCCGTCTCAAAACGCTAATTATCACGGGTAGCACAACATCCGAATCAGTGTCAACTTCATTCGGACTCACCCAGTCAGTGTGACTATGGAGCGCTTCCAATTCCTTGTCTCACTCTCCGTTCTCAAACTCCTTCCATCTAAAGAAGCGGTTGCATCCATTTGTAAAACAAGACCGTGCCGTTTGATTTACACCAACCTTCCGGGATCCAGTTCGACGACGAGGACAGTGACTCTAATCAGGACCCTGAGGATCGAATCTTCAACCTCTGATCTTGACAGCCAATCAGGCAAATCGTTTCGTTCCTTGGCACGTGTTTCATTCTGATGTTGCACTCTTGCAATCGTAGTGCACAGCAAGCGAGCTTTTTCGAGGATCTCTGGTGGTGCCTATCCACTCCAGGATGTTGGAATCGGTTTCTACATGAAATTTTTGTCAAAGCCCCATTTCTACAGGTCCCAGACGCTCGCTAAACACACTTTCTTCATGGTCGAGTACTTCTGTTCAGCGTTAGTCAGGACACGACTGACATATTCGACAACTCCATTCCGCTGCTTTACGTTAGCGTCGATACCGCGATCACCAGCGTGCGTTGCAACAGAGGACATCTCTCCGGCCCTAATACACTGCTCGTCCAAGAAACTGCCGGATGGAGGGCTTTGAATGGGAACAGCACATTCCTTGATATTTGCCAATTTTCTGGCAATGGGCTTACATCTCCGTGACCCAATGTATGACCCAGCTGTGTTACCGAACCTCGCGCGAGCTGTGTTTTGGGCTTGATTTATCTGGAGACCAGCCTCACCGCAGCACATGGATAACCGCCAAGCTTGATTGCGCCATACTTTGACACAAGTGTATTCGGCCGGTTTGCCGAACTCCTCTGCTAGGACTGCTATCGCGGAGGCCCAGCTCAGCTTCCAAGCACATCTTCTGCCCGCATCCAGTTTCGTCATCGTCCGGCCGCTAAGAAGGATCCGCTGTCTAGAATGAATGACGTATGGGGCTATTTAGATGTTGATTTGAATGACGGTACGTTGAGGTTCGGTCGAAAGTTTGTCAATCTACATCTCCAAGTGAGTCAGTTTGACAGTTGTTTGCTACCCTTCTTCAAGGTACTCTTTCCGCTCTCCTTCTTCCCGCTGAATGTCATGAGGAGTTGAGTGCGTTGGCCGGTTCAAGCGTTACACGGGATTTGAGAAGGCACGGTATCAAGGGCGTCTGAACCACTATGAAGCTGTCCGGTACTTGTTCTCCTTCATCATTTCATTATCTCAGGCACCATTGCAATTATCACGGTGCTCACGGAAAACCATCCTTCTTTTGATGTACCACTAACATACGAGCACCCTAGAGAAAGAATCGATGATATCACCAGTGTCTAACAGTAGGGACGACCGGATTCCAACGGTTGGCAACAGGAACTGACCAATTGATTGTGGAGGCGGTTAGCCACTTGGTTGATACACATTTAAATATGTATAATTATTCTTGAAACGAACTGCTACGGCATTTCGGCTGCTCCTGCGTTGAATTAGACAGTATCTCCACCCTAGTACTACTTTGGGTGTCACTGTACAACATCTGAATGGCTGACTTATATTTATTATTTTTATTACACATGAACATCTGCAGGTATGTCATATTGCACAAAAATTGGTGAAATTTGACCTCCACGCAGTCGAAGGTATTGTCCGAGGTAGAAACATTTGCGATGGTCATACCAAATCTTTACCGACGCTGACTGGATTTGTAGGCATTTGATTATAAAACTGAGGACAGGTTAGTAAATTCGTCATCCTTGACTAGGAATTGTGGATCTTTGTGTCACATTTTACCAGAAATAAAATGACCACATGGAGCAAATCTGAGAATTTTATCGGCTTATAGAGCAGCTGTTGGTCGACCAAGTCAGGACAAAGGCGCATTTGGGACAATACGCTGTGTTTAATGCGTAATATATTACGGGTACATTTGCTGAAAACGCTTGCCAACCAATCACTGTTTTTTCAATTTTTGTGGCTCCCGTCAAAACTAGTTGTCGTTTCCCAAACAAGATGAAACTGCGATACAGTAATTCTCACATTTTCAGTTTGAATTGTCTTCATTTACATCTCTGAGGAATGAAATTTTCATTGAGTTGCCAAACTTACACCTCAGAAGTGGTCACTCGCGGAGCCGTTCAACACATGACCACAGCTGATACGCAGAGCACAGTAGAAAAAGAAACAGGCCACCGAGAAGCGCAGATGAATATCAAGCGTCACCGAAAGCCTCGGCAGTTGCGAAAGACGCACTGGATACGGTACACAAACATATTCAGAGAATGTTGAGATGTTGTGGCGAGGACCATGGTCCACGACGCGGAGATTGATAGCCGACGCAGTAGAAATCGCACGCATCCCAGTGTTAACAGAATAGAAAACGTGGTACTGGCAAGCGCGTGGAGAACGGTTTTCGATCGGCAAAGCTGACAGCTTTTGGTGTGCGGACATCAGAAGGAAGAGAACTCACCGACTGAATTTCACATGACCTGAACCCGCCCGCACAGATTAATTGTCGCCAACTCACAACCCTATAAAGACCAAGGAAAATATGCCAGTGACACCGTGAAGAGAAGCACTAACGAACCAAACTCGATCAGAATTTATTTGAAACTCATCCAATCCACTAAAGTAAGATTTTAGCAATCACAGACAACACACCTGTTTTATAGCCCGGCTAACTTGGCGACCTGCTCACTTGGACTCGATTTGGTGATCCGCTCATTTGTGTCAAAAGCGAAACGTTGCCCAACTAAAAACTACCGATTATTTACCAAGCCCTTCTGAAATATATAAGATCTCGCTTATCCTGTAATGTGGTTACGTTCATGCTGTTCTGTTTCATATCAGCGTAGAACGCAGCGTCTTCTGAGAAGTAAACAAACAATCACATTATCAATTTACTGAGCATACTTTTGAACGATACGATACGCAATCTTGAATTTTCTAAGCGGATGAGGGAATGCGGTGAAAATAACCTATACGCGTTTTTTAAAGGTAGCATAAATGTAGACTTTGGTCGGAACAAGTCCTTCCAATCAAACATTTTTCCATATTCACAAAGGTTCTTAGTTCACCTCATCACCGAAGTTTAGCAAGTCACTGAACTTTGTCTGCCGTTTCACTGCCGAAGCACTGTATAATGTATGGAGCAGGAGAGAGGATGACGTCAAATGGTGCGAAGCTCACGCCAATTTAAAGGGAGTCAGATGTACGAATAAACATTGTGATTTCACAAGTAAGGTTGTTTTTATTGCGTTGCCACATTGCAACATGATGTTCTCCAATATTAATTGCCACATAAATGATAGCGGGAGCACATCTCCAGTGGTGCGTAACTAACCCAACACCACAAGAAATAAATTAGCACAGAAAGGGAATTGCGATAACTTATCTCACCACAGTCACCGATGTAGTTACGGTAATTTTTGAAAACTAGGTATCGTCCGAAACTGAAAACCAAATCGACTTACTTATTCACCTAATCAAGAATTGTAAGTAGCTCACAATAATTCAGTTGATGTTTCGAGACCCAGCGCGACAAAAAACAACCTCATGAAAATTACGTACAGAGTCAAGCCTATTTCCTAATAAATTAAAGTCTCTTCTACG